ATGACTTTTAGTGCCTCGCATTAGAATTTTACACGTTTTAAATAAAATTAGATCGGCACTGATAAATCGAAGTATCCATATTAGGCCCCCGTCGTTCTCCATCTACATATTTTGATATGCTCCTTCGGCAATTTAAATGCTCCAACCTCAAATGTATTATTAAATTTAATTTGTCGTATATTTTGACAGAATTTCTTTTTAGATTTTGCTACATCAGAAAATAATTAAAAATAAAGTTATGTATTCCTCATTGATTTTAATTTTCCACTTTGGTTTTTATGGATCGATCTATAATTCATACATCAATTTTCTAAGCCCGCGATTCCAAATTGCAGCCCGCAATTAGGTCAATTTATGTTTTATTGTTTGGCAATTGTGGCAACTTTTCGCCGGCCGCGAGAATTTAATCAAAAGCAAATTAAAAGTTCTGGTAATTTGTAGCCGGGCTTCAAATCGCTTAAAATCGGAAAACTAATTTTCCAGACTCTACATCTGAGTTTCAGTTTAATCGAGATCCGGATTATTTCGTTGACGACTGAAAAAATGGAATATTCTAACTATTGCGCTGCAGTTTTGCTAATTATAATTAAAAAAATATATAAAAGAGCGATAACGTGCACGAGTAAGTTTAGAGGAATTAAGTAAGCTCTTTATTAATAAAGTGCCTCAAGATTTGGGCAAAATAATTTTGTCAGATGTATTGATAATAATAGAATGAAATTTTATCAATACAGTTTTAACTACAATGTATCTCTAGCTTTTATAATAAAGAGAGATTCTTCTTACAGTGCCATACTCTATATAGAGCGTCGGCTACCTCTCGCATGTACTTGTGATGTGTGTCATCAGTGTTTCACAAGTACACGGGACCTACAGTTTATTGGCGAATCCGAACGGCACTATTTGAGAGGCTGTACAAAGCAAATATACTCAAGGTGGTTTGCCATTGCCTTCCTTGAGGTGGCGGCTCGCTGGTCGCTCTATTTAGATAAATAAATATTTTTATTTAAATAAATAAAGCGACCGTACTGGCTGGGGATCGAACCCAGTACCTTCTACTCCGCAGATCGACACACTAACGCTGGAGCTACGGCCGGCCACAAAGAGAGATTATGTATTTTATTTAGATGGTTGAACTACAAGATATCATCTTCACCATAATTTCCAGCTTATTCAACCATTTCTGATTACAGTGTAGCTTCCTTTGCATATTTAGATTCTCTCTTTGTAGTTGGGCCCATTGCTGCCTATTGTTGGCTATGAGGTCCCAAGTTATCCCTGCTAATTTTCTAAATATCATGGCTCCATCTCAGATGTAGTATTCATGTAGGTTTCTTAATTCCTTGTGAGTACCAAGCTGCCATTTTTGTGGTCCATCTGTTGTCCGTCCTTCTTGCCAGGTTCCTACCCATTGCCACTCGAGGTAATTGATTCTATGGATCACATCTATTACCTGGATCTTTTGTCGTATCCACTTTATTATTTTACGGTAGTTCTTGGTTATTCCCAGCATATTTCGTTCCACTGGGCGTTGTGTGGCCTGCAGTTTCCTTATAATATCCGTTTTAAGTATCCAGGATTCGTAGGCATAGGTCATGACTGGTAGTACACATTGGTCGAAAAGATGCATTCTAGATTTGTATATGATTGAGTTTCTTATATAAATATTTCATGCTAACATAATTCTCTCTTGATCTGTTTATTAATATTTTTGTGATTATCTTTTATGTTACTACAAGATATCATATATTATTTTCCAACTATTTTCCGTTGAATCTCTATTCTATAATGTCTATTATATCACTGATTTGCAATGGACATCAATCATTAGAAATAAGCTAGAAGCATGTCACGTGTTTGACATTAATTAAATGAAAAATTGTCATTTCTTTACATGCGTTTGGGCAGCGTATTGTACTAATAGTTTATCATTTTATTGATATTATCAAAATAGATAAAATCTAATTTCGTTTTTCAATCGAGAAATATAGATTCAGTGGTACAAATAATTATAAATTGATGTAAAAAAATCGATTCTGCCATTAATCGCTCTGTTATAGCCATTCCTAATAGTCCGAGAGCTGGCAAAGTCGAGAAAACAAGTATTTTAAGAAAGCTGTTGTGGAACTCTGTAACTAAATAGCGATCGGTAACGATGAAGAATATTTACCTTTGCCGTACAAACTAAACAACAAGCGACAGTATTCTTCATCGCTACCGATCGCTATTTCGTTACAGAGTTCCACCTCTAGCTCTTTAATATATCGTTTACTATGCTCTCTGGAACAGCATGCGGCCCGTCTGGCTGCCGGTAAACGTTGAATTCCCTACTGCGCATTGAAAAAAGATCCTATATTTTTATTAGTCCTTTAAATTCTAGTATTGAATATAAGTCGAACAAGTCTCCATAGCGCAGCGCGTAGAATTTCCGACGGCGAACCAAGGATTCAGAGTTCGAGACCGGGTCAAGGCAAAGAGTGTTTTATTTTATTTTCGTTTATATTCTGCTAGTAAAGTATTAAATAATTATGATGATTAAAAAAAACAAATATTTATACTTTACTATCAGAATATAAACGAAAATAAAATAAAAAAGTTTTTGCCCTGACCCGGTCTCGAACTCTCGGTTCGTAGTAGGAAACTCGACGCGCTGCGCTATGGAGACTTGTTCGACTTTTATTCAATACTAGAATTTAACGGACTAAATAAAAAAATATAGGATCTTCTTCCGTTGCGCAGTAGTGAACGCAACGGGTATCGGCAGCCAGATAGGCCGCATGTTGTTCCAGAGAGCATAGTAAAAGATATATCAAAGAGCCAGCTTTCTTAAAATATTTTCTGGAAAACGTTGCTAGCTCTTAGACTATAACGTGAGTTGTGAATTACCAAAAATGGCGAAGAGATATTTTTTTGGGGTGAATTTCTCCGATATTTAAGCGGAGACAATCCTTACAAATCAGAGTTTATTAAAATCGGTCTCGTCTGTGTAATGGTGTAATTAACCTGATTTTGTTTTAAGTATACTGACGGTGAATTGTATAAAATTTCTGAAATTAGAATAAAATAAATATACTTGTTTCTTTTAATGGATGACACTGTAGGAATTTTAATTATCTTCTAGATGCAACTAAAGCATCGAAATTTGATATATTTAAAATGTTTCTACATTTGAGTTGTTATTCATCAACACCGCTCTTTCAACATAAGACAAGGAATTCGTAGACGGATTGAAGAAAAGTGCGAAGTCACAACCTCGTAATTTCAATTTAGGCGATTTTTAGATAGGTGTGTTTATTATTTAAATATTTCATGCCGGCACAAGAGCATACACCACATATCTTAATATTTCAAGTGCAGCGCGGGAGTTATGAACGAATTATTGAGATATAGGGTTTATGCTCTTGTGTGGCATGAAATATTTAATTAATAAACATACCTATTTCTCTGCGACGAAATATGATTTTTTAATCATGTTGTATTATAATATTAAGTTGTCTTAGCATCGAAAATATGTAAATAAATAAAAAAAAACCTCAACCAGTAAAAGCCTTTTAAAATAAGCCTACCATAATGAATGTCCTTTTTGGTCTCAGAAAAACTATCTGTAGAATGAATTGAAAAAGTTCAATTAACCAGTCGTAATAAAAATATAAACTTTGAGTAAACTTAAAAAATTATTATTTTTATTAATTTTCGATTATTTTGGTAGATTTTCAAATTTAATTTTGGTGTGTAAAAGATAAACTTATAGAAAGTTAAATAATAGCGTTCAGAGTTTATGAAGTGAAACTTCTTTACGCGCGATGGGAGTAAAAATTCAAGGCCATGACACACCGCAAACTTGACACTTCACGGCCTTGATGCGAGAAAAAAAGTGGTAAAGATCGCACGATCCTGCAAACACCAAAAACATTTGATTTAAAGCTAAAAAAATAATTATAATAAACTTGATATTGTACCTGAGGGGTATGTATATCATCTAGCTGTGTGCTAGGAAGTAAATTTTCATGCATATCTTCATCGATAGGTTTTTAGCTTATTAAAAACGGTCTAGGTAAAGCATATAGCTCATTTGCTAGCTCAGAATTAGAATTATTAGATTATTAAATCACTATAAGTAATGAACAAAACATGTAAACAGAAACACACCATACAAATTGTTGGTTAGCTTCAAAATTTCTTCTCTCTTTTTTAATTAAAAAAAAGTAAAGATTTCAGTTAACGTTTCCTTTTTGCTACCAGGGCTAATCTGGACGGGGCCTACTTTGTTTACGCGGAATCCGAACCGCGGTCCTCGGCCATATCATGGTCAATGGCCTACCGACTTGGCAAGTGTCTAAATCGACTATTACTCACAAGATATCTGATCTCATCCGGCTTCGAACCGGCGTGAATGAGCAGTGTGTGTCAATACATTTTACACTTTTGCCTTTTTTTAGACAACAGCACGATACAGAGTTTCGAACCGGTCATCCGTCCATCTACCAGTATCACCTTACGTCGCTTAACTTCGGTGTTCTAATGGGAACCAGTGTTTCAACGTAGCTGAATCGTTGCCTCTTTTTTAATTAATTTAAAGGCCTAAGCTACTAGGACTATCCGGCAATTTTCTTCTTAAATAAATTTTAACGGGACATTAACATTATTAGGCATTTGCTTAAAAGTGTGTATTTTGGGTGGTATTCCACAAAATTTGCAGGCTAGTGAGGAAACAGAAAATGTACAGAAATGTAAAATATTTATATTAAAACAGCATTATCAGTCACTTTTTCAAATATGTCCTTCAAATCCTTCAATTTAATAGCTGTTACTAAGAAGTTTCACTTTAAATATGCGCACATAGTGCATACACTGTTTCTTTGACGTTTATTTATTTATATCTCTATTAAGAGAGCTATTATTATATAAATTCCATCATTAAATATCTAAATAGATTTTAGTAATAAATTATATGAAAATAAAATTAGAACATTTGGTAAATTATTTTCTTTTCGTTGCAGTTGGTTTCAAGCAATGCAACTCAAAGGAACTGGAGGGGTATCTTCATAGCACTATTAGTCATCGTGGTAGTGCTGTCATTGATCGTAACGTCAGTAGTTCTGCTCACACCTCCAGACGAAGGCCCCAGAATAAAAGGCGATAGATTTGAATTGGAGGACATCTTAAGTCATGAATTTGTGCCACTCAGATTCAATGGGACGTGGGTTTCAAGTAAGTTATAATATATACATTTCTTATCTTGAAATATTTTGAAAGTTATATCTTGAAAGTTTTGTATTAAAAAAGTATACTATGTGCTAGATTTTAAAATCAAAAAAAAAATTAATTCTTATAGCTCTATCTTATTTAAAAATAAATAAATTGTCACAAAGCAGATCTAAGTTATTTCGGCTTAAAATTATGAATTTTCGGTTAATTATTTGCAGTTCACAGTATATATACATAGATTTATGTCCTATAGACGAAAAAAAGTATAGAATAAAATCAAAGTACAAAAAATCGCAATTAACGGAATTCAATTTCTACCTGACCTTGAATATTTGAGTATAACTTTGTAAATAAATTCCTTAGTATTAGGAAAATTTTATGAAATTCATTGCAGTTTAAATATAAAATGACAAACAACATTAGTGTATACTATATACATATAAACGTGTATTTTGTAGCAAATAATATATCAATTCTTCTTTAAATAAGTGTTCTAAAACCTGTATTGCCCACCGCAGGTATAGGACAAAAATAGTAAATCAGTCAATACATTTCAACGTTTTATTATATAATACAATATTCAACAGGTCGATATTACTTGGTTTTTACATTTTGGAATGATTTATAAGGTTTGATAGCTTCATTTTATTCTACATTTAGTTTTTATGACTTCACCTTTATATCGTTGACCTCAATCTAATTTTTTCAAATTTCTTTACTCTATATAATATTTATTTTTGTATTTTTTAAATATTTATACAAAACATATCAGTACAACAATTTGACAGGAAAAATGACAGTATTTTTATTGTGAAGTAAAAACGATTAGTGGAGAATATACTACACTCACCAGCACAAAAAACGGGCACCTTAAAATTTTGATGTTAAAGTTTAATAAATTTTGTTCTAGTGAGCCGTTTCTGATGATTTTCAAGCAATTTGTAGCTAAATTACTTGACATTTTAACATATTTTTTTTTAATTAAAAATGAAATATCCCATCTGTCAATTAAACGGGGGAAACAAAATGTGGATATTTTGGTAAAAGTTTGAAACACCCTTTGAAATACGTTAACAAAGCAAAGAATTTAAAAATATTTTTATCATCTAGATACATCTATTCTTGATGATTTCTTTTTTTATTCATCTGAATAGATATATTTTTCTTGGAGATATTCGCTTTTGAAGAAGAAACTAACATTTTTTCTTAATTTTTATTCTGAAAATAAAATGTTACAGTTACAGTTTAAACGAAGGAAAAAACAAAAACATATAAGAAAATTATTACTAATACCGAGTATTCCTCCCCCGAACTTCAATCATTTTTTTTAGAATTTAGATTGAGTGGGTGGGGGTTAATCACTGCGAACTTACAGATCTATTTTGTCCCCCTTTCTTGAGTTATAACTCATCATACAGTATCTGGGGCGGTTTTAGAGAGGGTAGTTCTCCATCTCCAATATTAGTCGTACCAAAATTCATGGCGCGAATGGTTGTCGTTTCGGCGCACTCAGTGATGAGGTGTTCTGGTGTTTCCCTATTTTCCCCACAGAATCTACATTTGCTGTTTCTTCTTAGTTTCAATCTACTGAGGTGTTCATTGAGGAGACAATGTCCTGTTAAAAACCCCGTGACAATTCGAAGATAGTTCTTACTTAAATCCAGGAAGATTTTTAACTTCAATCATACCTAAATCTGTTATCGACATAATATTGATCTCAACCATCTTCGATTAAAGCAACTGTAGTGGATACAACTTCTGGAAAAACCATCTCTGCTAGAGTAACTGCCCGGCAGACCATAATAATATGATTTTTTGATGACAGCGACATTACATAAATCATAAAAACTATTTTATAAGTTTGTTGACTAGGACTAAAATAAAGACACAGATAATAAAATAATTTACAGATGACTAAAAAATTAAATAATTTAGCTACAAATTACTTAAAAAATAATTTTATATATAAAACTTTAAAATACATCTAAATTTTAAGGTGTTAAATCGGGACACAAAAATTTATAGTAGATAGTGTATAGTGTTCACAAGTGAGGAAACACGAGATATTTATGATGTTTTCTTAAAAAGTAATAGAAATTCCAGTATAGCATGAGGAATTTATAGATATATAGCCTCATCGTACTATTTTCTTAAGGATTTCAAGAAATTTAGCAGTTGTTGGTAGCTTTAAAAAACAAGAGAGCCCTTAAGAGATTCTTATGTAGCGAAAATTATCAAAAAACATAAATATCACAACTTTAAATATTTAAATGTGTATCAAATTTACATTTTTTACACACTGGTGATCACGAGAGAAGATTATAATTTTAGAAATGGTTTCCGGAAAGTGTTCAAGAGAGCCCGCTTTTTCTAGAAAAATATTATGGACGGAATTTTGGTACATTTAACAGAAACAAATTCACATTATTATGCAAAAGAAAATCTGCATTTAATTAGATAAACCAGACCACAAAAATAAGATATACTATGAACGTCTGGGCTGACATTCTTGACAATAAAATTTTAGATTCTGCTTTGACCTGTATTGAACTCTACTATACAATTATGTTTGCGACATATAAAGTGGCAATTGGATTTCCAAAGCAGACTTGATCTTAGGCGAATTTTTACAAAATCTATTTTTTAGTGAATTTACACAATAATGATTAAAAATTATATATCACCGTATAGATTTCTTTTCGCTCGATCTTATATTATAAAAATTCAATATGGCGGCCATAGGAAAACAAAAACTTGGCTATTGTTGTGCGAAATCTAGAAGGCTTAAAAGTTTTCTGAAAACGACATTTAATTAGCCGAGGTCAGAAATATGAAACTACCAACTTACGTTGCAAGAGATACAATAGTTCTGAAGATGTCATTTAAAATAAAAAAAAATATTTTCATTTTTTTTACATAAATCCGAAACTAATCAAGATACCGGGGTTTTCTTCAAAGGTGTTTGTCAAACTTCTAATTACGCAACCTTTGTCCCATTTAACCGAATTCGTATCTCTCATAGTTTCTAAGATGCCAATGCTGAGCATCGAAATTGTCAACACCCGGTATACCTAATATCTTTAGACTACACATTTTATTTAAATTGTGCTGTTTAAACATTAAAAATACATAATTTCTATCTTTATTAACCATTTATAATAAAAATTATATAAAATATATTAAGATTAAAAAATTAAACTTCATAAAATATATTAAGATTTATATTGGAATTAACCATCCTAGAGAACATAATAACACTATTATGAAATTTAAAATAAAATTATTAGTGGCATAAAGTGGCATACTGATATAAAGAAGCACAATGCTTACACGTAATGCTATAGTACTGGAATTAAAAAAAAACATGACGGACCGACAAACAAGAATGAAGATAGATTGTAGTTAGTCGAGACATTTTACAAATAAAACTGCATGAGATTATGTGATTAATGATGTTGAAACTAATGGTCTTTATAAGTATTGTCCGTAAAATGTTTTGTCTGTGTGTAAATTAAATGGTCTGCTGTCAGCAATATACAACGAAAATGTTATTGTTTAATTATGATATATTAGGTTTTCAATTATTTATACTTTTTTAATTTAACATTACTAAAATTATAAAGAATGTTACGATTATTAATATATCTATTGTAATTTAATGATATTATGTGTAGGCTATTAAAATTTAAAAAAAGGAGTTTACAATCATATCCTTGTAAATTGTGGAGATTTGAAATGAAACATTTTATCTTTTAACTTATAAAATGTTATAAAATTTAAACCGTACAAATACTTATTTAAAACCTAAGTAATTAATCACCTAGGTACGACTTAAAAGGATAGCATAAATATTATTGAAACAAAACAAAAAAAATAACGTTTGATTATTGTTGATTATGTTTATATTTATAACAAAATTTTATTGCATTGTGATTTTGCAAATATTTTAAAGGAGTGTAAAAGACCTTTTTGTAAAACAACGTCTTAACTTTAATATTTTTTGTTGATCTCGTGCACCGATAAAAATTTACCACAAGAAGTTTCTAACCTTCGTTTTTATATTTATTAGTTTCACATAAAAAAATATTTTTAAAGTATCAGTTTCAATGATATTATACCAAATTTATTCAATAATAAAACTGACAATTTTTACAGATGACGAACTGCTGTTTAAGGACCAATGGGGAGGAATCAGTATTATGTATGCAGGAAATCTTTCAGTCAGAACAATCATGTCAAATCAGACTTACGTAAGTAAAAATCAATAAAACATATTATTAAAAAATATATATGTTTTTCAAGTTGGTAATGAAATTTGCATTAGCTTAATCAATAAAAATATTTTAATGGCATTAAAAATTTGACCTTCTATTATTAATCATTTTTTTAGATATTTTCTTACAAAACTTTATTATCATCTCTTTATATTGTATTAGTAGTAGTCATTGTAATATTTATACACTCAGATGTAAAAAAACGCAAGGGAGAAATTTTTAGTCAAATTTAAAGTGTTATATTTTTGTGATTTTTGGCTCTATTTTCATGAATTTTGATTGAATTTTGTACAATTTGCAAATTGTATACAATTTTATCAACTTTAATTCTTAAACTCAGTTTTGTATAAATTTTAGTATTTGGCATATTATATATGGTATATATTCACCTTGTTCTTTGCCTGATCTCCTCAGTTCTAATGTGTTCCATTCTTGATATGCGACATGCTCTTCTGAGAAAGTCCATCTCCACTGACTCGACCATCCTTCTTTCTTTTGCTGTAAATTGCCAGCATTCGGCACCGTATGTTAAAATTGGCTCTATGATTGCTTTGTAAATCCTTATCTTTGCTTGGATAGATGTTTTATTTGACCACAGGAGAAGGTTTAAGAGACCGATTACTTTCTTACCTTGTTGAACTCTACTATGTATATCTTTCTTCCAAGAAAGATTTGGCATATTATACAGGGTTAAACAAATGGTGTTTTTTCACCTTAACTTTAAAACACCTTGTGCAATAATTTCGTCTGTGAATTCGTCTAAAATATAATTTTACGGTTAGAACCATGTCTTCTGAGCATATTGTTTTCTGGATCATGTCAATAAATGCCTTGGTTAATTTTTAAGACCGAAATGAACTTCCCACCATTAATTTGCAATTTTTTCAATTATCATTCCTTTTTGAAGTTATTTTTCAATACGACAAGGCAGCTTTGGTGATTATTGTGATCTATATACTAGTTATACTACTATGAACTGCCCATTGTGTTCGACGTTTGGGAAATGCTTAGCAGGAGGTTTAGATGTCGCGAAGTGGTACCAGTTTCATTAAATAAATTTCGATTGGTTCTTAAAGAAGCATGGACATATGCAGCTTTAATGACAGTATGAACGGATGTATATAGGCAGTTGTAGCAGCCAAGGGAAGGGCAATACAAAGTATTAGGATATCTTTTTACATTTTTTTTTCTGTTTGTATATTTGAGTATTACATATGTTTTCTTTAATATCGTTAGTCCTGTTATCGTTACGAACCAGGACTGTATCGTTACTCTTTAACGTTTATTTTTAATTTAGTATAAAGTATCCAATGTAGCGTAATATGACGTTATGACAATGGTCACCAAAGCCATATCGTTATATTCAAAAATTACATCAATAAGTAATGATAACTGAAAAAATGGCAATTTAATCGTCATCAGTTCATTTCTGTCTAAAAATTAATCAAAGCATGTATTGGCAAAAAACAAAATACTCAGGAGTCATGGTTCTGACCGTAAAATTGTATTTTAGAAAAATTTACACGAAATTATTGCACAGGCTGTTTTAAAGTTAGGATAAAACACACCCCTCTATTAACCCTATATAATATACCAAATACTGATGATGAAAATTAAAGTTGATATAATTATATGCAATTTTCCAAAAAATTCATGAAAATAGGGCTAAAAATATCAAAAATATAACACTTTATATTTGATCAAAATGTTCTCCGTTGCGTTTTTTTGCATCTGAGTGTATATTAAAAAGTAATTAATCAAATGTACCTATCTCCGTATCAATGCAATACTTTGCACACAAAAAAGAAAACACTGACGTAGTTAAAAATGAGAACAAGAGATTTTTCTTCTTGCGTCATTCGTACATCTGAGAGAAAGAATTCAACAGCGATACTTGATATTTCCAATAGTGTATCACTCACAACCTTTTAGTAAAAATGTTACTGATACAACCGTATACTTAAAACTAAAATAACATATCTTAAGTTACAATCGCCATTTCTTATAGTTTTATGTTGTATTATGTAGTGCAAGTATTATGTTTAAATATCATCTCTATATCTAATAGCTTACATTTGGTAAAAAAAAACAATAGTATAAACTCAAAACAGTGTTTAAAAAAAATAGATTTATTTTCATACATTAAAGAAATGTTTATAACAAAAAAATAATAAATAGGTTTCTTTACGAAGCCTATGGTCTTATTTGAAATACTTAAATTATGAAAATACTCTCTTAGGTTACATTCAGCTTACTCTAATTAAACAGCTACTTGTAAACTTGTAACCAAAGATCTATATGTAATGCGATTTCTGATTTCAGATGCGATTGAATCCCAACCGATATCAGTTATCTCCAGACCAAAGGTATCTCCTCTTGGCGCAGAATGTACAGAAACTATTTCGGCATTCGTATTTGGCCCAGTATACAATTTACGACATTCAGACAGGGTAAGATTACATACAAGCATTCCTAACACTATGGATCTATACTGAAGGAGTTAAGACAATTTACTATTTGTTTGTTAGATGTTGAATGACATCTTAAAGTTTTCAGGCATTTAATATCAAATTATATGTCTGAAATTTTGTCAGATATTTTGTATTAATATATTAATACTTATCTGATAAAAATAGGAATAAAGTTAAAAGGACTCGCACACCGAGGGTTCCGTACAAATTTGTAGGCACATATTATAAATAGTCTTTAAATAAAGACTACAGCATGTCCTCAGATCTTTATAAGAAAAAAACTTTTTTTATTATTGACATTTTGAGAATTTTTATTATATATTCTTAATTAAATATCAGATTTTTTAAATTTCCGTACCATGTTAGAAAAAAAATAAAAAAATATGGTTGAATTTTTGAAATCCAAAAAACCAAAAGGCGTTTCTGTGACATATTTATATCAATATAATTTAGATTTCATTCTTTGTAAATGTTTTTGATTAATTTTGAATAAAGTTATATTTTTTGCTGTTGTTAAAATATCACATTTTCCGATAACTATCTATTATCACACTTTTCGTAGCATTAAACTAAATAAATTTTGTGCTTCTTAAACATTTTAAAGTAACAAAAAATACAACCGGTAATTAAAATTCTACCAATAAAAATATATCATAGAATGAACGAAATTATATTACTATAAAAAAGCGTTTTGATTTTTAGGGAAAAATTAAATTAAAATTATAGACCAAGAAATTTTTATTAAGAATGCATTTTTCTTAAAATGTCAATAATAAAAAAGTATTTTCTCTTGTATCCGAGGACATACTGTCTACATTTTATCATTTAATTAAACATGCATAGTTTTCTGACTTTACGCTGTACTTGTAGTATAAGAACATTAGGATGATATTAATTGCCAAATTTCATATTTCTAGGTCAAGGAAAAATACCTATATACTCTTATTCCCATGAGAGTGTCGAAAGATACTCTTTTTGCAGCATAAACGGCTGAACTTTTTTCTACGTTAACTTAGAAGTTTGATGTCACAACTTTAAGGGACTGAAGACCTGAGTATATGATTTTAATTTCAACTCGATACCTCTAGGGTTTCCCAAAATAAAGGGTCTTGGTAGACAGACGGACCGACAGACGAACAGGCAACAAAGTGATCCTATAAGGGTTCCGTTTTTTCATTTGAGGCACGGAACTCTAAAATATACTCCAATGCGGATTTAAAGATGTTTTAACCCTTATTATTTTACATACTTTTAGGCTCATCATTGTATATTGAAATCAATACTGATAAATTTAAAAGATATGATTAAAATAAGATGTTCATTGTTCATACATTTATCGGCTCAGTTATATACATATACAAAGTGTCCCAGCCTGAGCGTGCATTAGAACTTTCTAGAAAACTACAATATTTAGATCGATACAAGCCATTGATTGGAACATCATTGTTTTACAACGAGATCTATTGATTAAAATTATTTTCAATATGGCGGCTCTTCCGGAAATACCGGACGTTGACAAAAACTTTCTTATTTTAAACGAGTGCCCCATTTTTTATTGCATACTTAAATCCTCTGTAGAATTTTATGATTTTCTTGATATCAAACACTCTATGCCTAACATTAACCGTTTTTGAAAAAAAATATTTAACATTTTTGGTCGAAAAAAACTGCCTGTCAAAAAAATCACTTAATGTCAAAGGAAGCTAGATAAAATCAAGAAAAACATGCGTTTTAAAACTAAATCTAAAATAACTTCAAAACGATTTATTTTAGGTATAGTAACATGTATAGTCAAAAAGTAACGAACTAAAAACCCTTTTAGTGAAATAAAAAATGGGTCTCCATTCGAAAAAAAATATTTAAGATAATTTTTTAATCGCTCAATTCCATGAGAGCTACATACCGCCATTATTATATGACATTTAAACAATTTAATTTTTGAAATAGATAGCCACGTTTCCTCTTTATGACACAGTGGTGGTAATTACTAAATTTAACTTTTGGGCTATACAATTTTTTTTGACAGTCAGTTTTATTAGTCCAAAAATTTTAAATATTTTAACGGTTAATGTTAAGTATACAGGTTTGTCAATATTCACAGAATTTTAAAGAGATTTTAAGTATGTAATAAAAAGTGGGGGCATACATTTAAAATAAAAAAGTTGCCGTCAACTTCCGGTATCGATAGATTTCTTTGTAGAACAATGATGTTCTCTAGAAACTTCTAATGTACGCTCAGCCTGGGACACCCTGTATATGCTAGCAATTAGTAATAACATAATTTAGTAACCTTTGACGTTAATTGTAAATGCCTTCAGCGACATTGTGATTTTTAGAAAATGTAGTTTAAACAAACTCCAGAGTTTCAAAAATCAACTTTAATTAATTTCTGTGATTACCTTAAATTAACCAAGAAAAAAGAAACTCTCTCACTGAAGAACTTAACTTCTCCGCACGGACTTTAAAAACAAACCGCAGAGAAACTGGAATTAAAAAAGAAATTAATATATCATTTCTCTTAAAAGAAGAGATGAATTACGACGTAATTGTAATAGATGGGTTTCATTTTAAAACGAGGAAACCAGAAATGGTTTTTAAATGGGTCCATTCAGCGAAGAAGAATGGAGTTAGATGATAAAAAAAGAAAATAAAAATGCTTGTTTTTTTTAAAAAAAACTTCTGCGGTATTATTTAAATAAAAACCAGAAAGAAAATGTTGATTAGTTTTTATGCTAATAAAGTTCTAGAACCAAAATTGTTTTATATTTATGCGTAACTTTCATTGAATTCTGTGGTGACAAAGACGTCTAATTCTATATTATTATTTAGGCTGTACTTAAACTGCCGTTAAACGGTAGCTTACTAAAATGCCGTTAATAGGTATGGCGTCGTTGATGTGACGCACTTGACGGCTTTATGAAATATAGGAATTTTATAAGGACTAACCAACGCTATCCACCCCACCAAATAACCAACTTAACCAACGCAACTATTTGTATTGACTAAGAGTGGGTCCCATGGGGACCCTCCACTGAAGCCGCGAGGGCCTATTGTGGCTCAGTTTCTACACGCTCTAATTTACAAGAGCGTCAAAGTTCACCCTCAAGACCCAGCCTCCTAATAGGGGCCGTTATGTCTGAGGGCGATATGTCTCCTTGGTCTGATAGGTCTAGCATAGGTTTGCCAAACATCTCAAACCTGGTCCTGCTCCCAGCGGGGCAGGTACACATAACGTGCTTCATTGTTTCGTCATCTTCCATACAGAGTCGGCATTCGGCGTCTTCCACCAGTCCCGTCCTCTGTAGGTGATCGCAACTAACCTCGACACTGAAAAAAAATATGAAAAACAAATATAAATTAGTAAAAACAAACCAACCCCACCAAATAACCAACTAACCAATGAATTAACACCCTCCAAATAACCACGTTAACCAACCCGCCAAATAACTAAACCAATCCAACCAAAAAGAGTAAAACCAATGAATGCAATGAGATCACGCTATAAGCAAAGAAATATATAAAAAAGTCTTGGTCGGCGTGAGATTTGAACCACGGACCATTCGCTCACGAAGCGATAGCCTCAGCCACGGAGCCACGGGTGCTCCTGCAAAATGCTTACAGCTAGGCATTACTTTCTCCGACATGTATGACGCCACAATATATATTAACGGCATTTTAGTAGGCTACCGTTTAACGGCTGTTTAAGTACATGGTATTATTTATCTATCGTATAAACTTAAAATTTATATTTAACATTATTATTCATAACTAACATTTTTGTTATTTACCTTCACATTGAGAGTGACATCTTAAGCTCTATTTTTTTAATTTGATTCTTTTGTCTTCCAGGAACGATTTTCAGTTGCGGCCTCTGCCTGAAAACGAAGACCATCCTTATCTTCTATTGGCACAATGGGCACCAAGAGGCCACAGTTTAATAATGGTGCAGGATTATGACATTTACTACAGAAAAACACCGAATTCTCACACGGGGTACAGGATAACGCATACGGCAATACCGGGTGTGGTGAGCCATGGTGTGCCAGATTGGTTGTATGAAGGTAAGATATTGTTGTATAAAGTATCCAGAAGCAATTTTTTATAAGAGGGTTTAATAAATTTTTGTTTTGGTTGAAAATAATATTTTTGACATCAAATTAAATGAAATTAGTTAAAAAAAAATAAAAAATAAAATTAGTTTTTGGTAAAATTTTATATACTATGTCCAATAGGGTGATCCAAAAAAACTAACCTATGTAATTTATGGGTTAAAATGAACCTATAATAACCGAGAAAAAATTATCCCCGGAAGGCAGGAATTTAACTCCCTTTTAAAAGGTGTCGGTGAACATTCAAAGTTTTCCATTTTCCAAAAAAGTACTATTTATAAACTCCATAAAAATAAAAGTGAGGTTAGTTCAGCACTTATTCCTTATTTTCCTATTGTTTTATATTTGTATTTCTCAACTAGCTCAAAAATAAATTTGTAATTTAACTATGCTTTTCAAACTTAAATAAATACTTACATTAAATGGTTTTCACAAAGGTAGATATAGATTTTTGGAGAACTTAAGGCTGGCGTCTTATTTTCTAGAGCCAGATTTTTCGCTGTTTCTCTTCGATAGTCTAATGTTAAATGTTTTTCCAGGAGTGGAAAGTATCGTGCTTTTGCAACCTGGTACCATACAGTATCGATAAATCATTGTGCATTCGAAAATTAGTAAAAAAAACCTCGCCGAAAATCGTAACTGAATAGAATGTCGAAACAAAATACGATGTACTTAAACAGCCGTTAAACGGTAGCGTACTAAAATGCCGTTAATAGATATTGTGACGTCGTTCATGTCGGCGGAAAGTAATGCCTAGCCATAAGCATTTTGCAAGAGCACATGTGGCTCCGTGGCTAAGGCTATCGCTTCGTGAGCGAATGATCCGGGGTTCAAATCTCACGCCGACCAAGACTTTTTTTTATTTTTTTTTGCTTATAGCGTTATCTTATTGCATTGGTTTCATTCTTTTTTGTTTGATTGGTTTATTTATTTGGCGGGTTGGTTAGCGTGGTTATTTGGAGGGTGTTAATTCATGGGGTAGTTGGTTATTTGGTGGGGTTGGTTGGTTTTTACTAATTTATATTTGTTTTTAATTTTTTTTTATCAGTGTCCAGGTTAGTTGTGTTGGTTAAGTTGGTTATTTGGTGGGGTGGATAGCGTTGGTTAATCCTTATAAAATTCCTATATTTCATAAAGCCGTCAAGTGCGTCACATCAACGACCTCATACCTATTAACGGCATTTTAGTAAGCTGCCGTTTAACGGCAGTTTAAGTACAGCCAACAAAATAATACCTCGTGACGTCACTATCGTAAGCGAGGTTAAAGCCGATGTTTTAGCGGGCTTCTCATCAATTTGAATTTTAACCATTTATTACGGCGTTAATACACCAGATAATTTTAAAAATATTTTGCAGGGGTGCTTTTTGGGTCTAAATGATTATTTTAAGACAATAAAAAAATACCCGCAAAGGGCCTATTATTGAATTGAAAAAAAATACGCTAAGATATATTTTTTAGGAAATTTTATGCTTAACCTTATAATATAAACAAATTTTTAAGTGGTAACACTGTGGTAACTAGGTGGTGATTGTGTATTTCATTTTGTATTAAGTTGTGTTAGCAAGTGGTATAATTTAAACTTTTTATACGTATTTTCTTTTGTATCGGGTTTTGCTGACATCATTTCATGTTATGTTTCTATGTACATGATTTGAAATAGAGGTTATTATTATTATTATACGGTACACTTAATAGAGTCATCAGAATGCCTGTGAAGTTTTCATTTAAGCTACAGAAATACATGTCACGTAGAATTTCGTCGTTACGATAATACTCAATTGGTCGAAACAAATTTCTCTGCGTCGCGCGTCGATGGGCTTGCCATTTATGAAACTGTAATCATTATTGGTGTTTGGAATTGTTCAATCAAAGTTTACCAAATAATGTAGAATTGTTATAGACCTAAAACACATTTAGAGACTGAATGCAATTTTATTTAATAGTTTACTACAAATGTGAATGAATGTATCAAAATGCATTTGCAGAGTGCATGTGCTTCATATTTAAAAGATATGCTTGTAAAAAATGTAATGAAAAATGTCCTGTTTTTGTCCTGTAAACTATCCTGTTGAATTATTGAGCTGTGGTCTCTTGGAATTTTATACAGGTCGTCCCACTATTCCATGGACATAGAACTACTGCGTATTTTTGGAACCAAAGTAAGTTCACTGAACACAGTTGACACAAAAAAAATAAAGAAATTTAAGATATTTTAAAAACCGATATTCCATTTTCAAAACCCTACATAAATTTTAATAGAACTATTTTTCTGCTCCACTCCATAATATTAAAAATACATACAGCCTCGCGTTTATGTATGGAAACGGTCGATTATTGATAAAATATAGAAGGGGGTACTAGACGGTATAATTAGACGAAGACACAACCATTTTGTGTTGAATTTTATTACTCTTATAACTATGTATGCCCATTCAGCGATATGTCCGTAATTACTATATAGGGTCGCTTTATTCCCCGTATGGAAACGGTTTTTATGTATCGAAAATCGGTTTATTAGGTAAAATATAGGAGGTGCCGCAAAAAGTTGAGTACAAAAGTCATATAGGATAATTAAATATCTATTAGCGAGTAATAAATTTATGTATACTGGGTCGGCCATAAATTCGTGGCACATCAAAGTTTCATTTTTTAAATAGTATGCATATTTCAATTCTTCAATTCTAAGCAAAAATCGGAATATACACAATGTACCTCAAACCAACCATTTCCGAGTTATTGACTTTTTAACATATCACTTAAACAATTTGATTTAATCAATTTCGATATGTTCAGTTTCATTTAATGATGCCATTCTGCCGAAACTGTAATACTGTTGTAATGAGTTTTTAAATGCCTATTAGCTACTAGTTAATTTAAGTATACTGGGTCGGTCATAAATTTGTGGCACATTCATATTTTTTTAAACGAAACTTCCTGTCGAGCTCACTGTATCTTATTGTATATTTAAATTCTCCCTTCAATTTTAAGCAATAATTGTAATACACAATAATGTACCAAAATTAAAGAATTGAAATGTTAAACAATAATTTTGTAATTTCCAGACTTGATATACTCGGTTGAGAACTAATGTCAAATATTATTAAGTATCACAGTTTCGGCAGAATAGCATCGTTAAATGAAACTGAATATATCGAAATTAAGTAAATTAAATTGTTTAAGTGCATGATATGTTCAAAAGTCAATAACTCGGAAACGGTTGGTTTGATGTACCTTGTGTGTATTTTGATTTTTGCTTAGAATTAAAGGAGGAATTGAAATATGCAAAAATATACAGGTTCTATATATCAGGGTTCTATTTAAAAAAATAAAACTTTGATGTGCCACGACTTTATGAACGACCCTGTACACATAAATTTATTATTCGCTAATAGACATTTAAAAATCTCCCTAACCCTATATTTTACCTAATAATCCACCGTATCTATTCATAAAAGCGACCCTATACAGGGTGTCCCAGAAATAAGTGCAAATATTTTAACTGGTAGTATAGTTCAACCCCAGAAACACGCCTATGAGGTTTTTTTTGCGAAAAAAAAATGTTGAAAATTTAAAATTTTTCTTGACATTTTCCGGGAAATTTGAAAAAACTTTTTAGTGCCACTTGTTTATTCACCTAAGATTTCCCTACGGTGTATCTAAACCTTGCAGTGTTGCAACCTTCTATGTTATCCACATTCTACATAGTTCGGCGGAACATAGTTCAATATTTATAAATTCATAGACAAATTTCTACTCATCAGTGCTCATTATTAATAATTATAGAAAAAAAACACATTAATTATTTTTAGTACTTACCCTTTCAATGAAAACTTAACAAAAACCACCGAAAATTAACTAAAACATTACGTTTATGACGTTTACGAAAATCTTTGTTATGCTGCAAATAACTTTATTTTGGAATAAATTTAATAAAATGATTCATATTATTCACAATCAGGTCACAAAAAGAAATTCCTAAAATGTTTATCGTAATTTAGAATTCAATTCAAGAAATTTAGAAAACAGCCCAACGAATAATCGATTCATTTTTGTTTTGTTTGTTTTCTTTCATGTTTCTCTGTTTTATTTGAACCACTGTTTTACAAAACACCTTGAAAAGCGCACATTACTTTGAATACCTTACTGAATGAATAAATGTTGAGAATTATTGTCTCTTATCGCCACTTTACGAACTACTTTCAATCTAAGAAAATACATGTTTCACTCAACAATTATTGACAACGTATTTTGTTTTTTCGCTATTTTTTCGATGTATTTCGACAATTCCATCGACAGCCTAACCGTCAGCCAAGAACTGCCGCGTGTGAACTGGTCCCTGGTCCTTTGAATCGCCGGTCGCCGCGCCGTCGTGGCGGACTTGCGTCAGACGACGATGTTAAGCAACGTTGCCGTAGTTACAACAATTTCAAATTCAAGACATTCGAAGCAATCAAATTCGTATTAAATTTTAAAAATAAAACAGAGGAACATGAAAGGAAATAAACAAAACAAAAATGAATTGATTATTCGTCGGGCTGTTTTCGATGTATTGAATTCTGAATTACGATAAATATTTTAGAAATGTCATTTTTGTGACCTTATCAATAACCAATTCATTTGTGTTGTTTGTTTCCTTTCATGATTTTCTGTTTTATTTTTAAAATTTAACAAGAATTTGATTGCTTCGAGTGTCTTGAATTTGAAATTGTTGAAACTACGGCAACCTCGCATGACGCAAGCTCGACACGGCGGCGCGATAAAGGAGTAGTTACCAGTGATGCGCGGCTCTCTTGGCCGACGCGACGTTTGGGCTGTCGATGGAATTGTTGAAACACATAGGAAAAATAGGGAAAAAACAAAATACGTATTTAAAATTGTTGAGTGAAACATGTATTTTCTTAGATTGAAAGTAGTTCGGAAAGTGGCAGTAAGAGACAATAATTCTCAACAT